CATAGCTGTTGCTATATCTCTTCCACATTTTATATCTGATATGAATAAAAGAAAATTAAATAATAAAGATATAAATGAAAATATCTGGTATGACACTAAAATAATTATTCCTATGGCACAAATCATCTTTAAAGCTGCACTCAGAATTTTGCTCTTTTTATTTTATTAAAACATAGCTTCTACACAAGCTACTTGATTTTGGAAAAGTGATTTTGAATTTAATATTTGACAAAAAGATGTCACGGATGTACTTTTTACTCAGTGCTTCTTTCAAGAACTTACAGGCTTTGATTTCAAAATGTTTTTTGCAATCGTTTTGACACTCAATAACTACAGCAAGTCGTTGAGGGGATATATTGTCTAAGGGATAGAGCTGTTTTGTGGGTTCTAGAAATATATTTCAATATTTCAAATGCGACTAACTAGATATTAAAAAATATGTCCAAATCCAACTTCCCAGTGCAGAACAGTTGGATAATGTATGTTATTTTAAAAACCTTCTCTAGTTTTCTCCGTTTTCACAATTGCGATTCTGGCGAACAAAATAATTATGTAAAAAAACTACATCACACGCCTGGTAGCAGAAAAAGGGGATGGTCGAGTGAAGTTATTGCGAGGGCAACTAGACTAAATATTACTGTTGACGCATCTAGGTAGTTCATTGTGACGCACAAAGCAACAATATGACAATCATTACCATCAATACGATAGGTTGAGGTGAAATTTTTATGGCATTCGAATTTTTATTGCCTTTGACACACCCACCTATCCCCCTATCCAAGCGTTGGTAAATGGTCATTGTGGATGCCACTATTTTCTAAATGGCCGCCATCTTGGTTGACGACACGTGAAGTCACGTGAAGTGTCAACCAAGATGGCAGCTCAAAAAGTAGTGCAAAACACGTGTTATTAAAAACCCTAACCCTATATCTATCCCGAGCAAAATCTTTTTAAAAATCAATGAAATTTCAATAATTTTTTACTCACTCCTTATGCATCAGAATCTTGTATTTGGGGAGGATACACAATTTTTATAGCATTTAAAAATTCTCTCATTTAAACTCTATTACCACATAAGTGTCGCCACATATATTCAAATAAATATGAGTTGATGTCACGTGAAGTGTCAACCAAGATGGCAGCTCAAAAAGTAGTGCAAAACACGTGTTATTAAAAACCCTAACCCTATATCTATCCCGAGCAAAATCTTTTTAAAAATCAATGAAATTTCAATAATTTTTTACTCACTCCTTATGCATCAGAATCTTGTATTTGGGGAGGATACACAATTTTTATAGCATTTAAAAATTCTCTCATTTAAACTCTATTACCACATAAGTGTCGCCACATATATTCAAATAAATATGAGTTGAACTGCTCCTCCCCAGGACAGGTTCTTGTGGGCAGAGATTGTTTAATTGCACTCCAGGTGCCCTATATGGTGTTGGTGTGTGCGCCCGTTTCAGAGTGTTTGAACTCAATTGTATGGTTCACCCTCAGGTGGTGAAACCCTACAGTTGTAAGACCTCTAACAATCAGAAATTATTGTGGTTCCTGGCTGCACTAATTCTTTAATTATTGTCCGTCTTTACCGTGGTTCTCAACAACCCTGAAAAAGATTTTGTTTGATCCTCTTTCAATCCCACCAACACCTATTTTCCTTCTACGGGTTTGCCTCTATGATACTTCCGCTTGCCAAATTTGGATTCATCCATCTCCACAATTTTACCAACTCCTCCTAAGCTCTCACTCATCACAACACACGCTTCCACGCAGACCTCGCCACAAAAGCTGACCCAGTCTTTTACGGTACCCCGACAAATGCTTACTTCTTTCGCAATATGTCCCAAAGGCATTTTTCTTAACCAAAAATGTGTCAATAACATAATGTCACACGTCAATCTACTGTCACTAAAACACGACCCCTTCCTTAAACTATGCACAATATTGCCATGACTTTTGTCACCACATTGCCATGCAAACTCATCTGAAGCATTTGCCCATGCACACAAGTTCAAACCCTTCTTACAATGGGGACATTCGTATCTATCTGCAATGAGACCGGTACTCATGAGCCAATCTATCACACTCCTTTCGCCCTGACTTTCCAGACGATTCCAAAAGCGGGCGTTAAATTCAGGCTCCATCTGCATAAATTTACCCTATATCTATCTAACTAAAACTGCTGACGATGCAAAAAAAACCAAAACGACAACCAATTTTTAACTTACCGGGCACCCGGTCAAGCAATCAAGAATAGCAACAGACGTAATATTTAAGCACTCCTTTCTATATCCGCATCATTATTAAGTACCCAACAAAAAAAAAATAATTTCTCACCATTTTGTCCAAATAGAACATAAAATAAAATTTTATGTCTATGTTTAAAAATTATACATCTTTTTTTCATTTATTATGAAAATAAAAACCCAAAAGAAACAAATACAATATAATATTAAACATTCCTCGGGCGAATTAATACTAATACATAAAAATATTAGTTATCTAAAAATAAACAAAGGGAAGTGACTCCCACATGTAAACACGGAAAAAAGACGTCGTGGCATCCCCAACTACCATTAGCCCCAAGCGTCTCATATGCAAAATCTCCTTAATCAACAACCCCCACCTCCCCTCTCAGTGCGTACATAACATAACATAAAATATGATTGTTTAAACTTTTAAAAAATATTACAACCAATCGTTTTTCTTATTCCATTCACTGCCAGATCTTTATTAGAAAGTGCTAAAACTTCAACAAACAAAAATGTATTTTATTTTATCGGAAAAAATTACCATAATCATAATTATGCTGATGCCTATCAAACTCTTCATAATATTTTTTCACAGAGTCTCTGAAAATCATAGAATTGGCGGGTCTCGGCGTACAGCCATCCTCCTCATCCTCATGTCCCTTAGTCCTTGGACCGTTGGGGCGTCACAGATGACATGTGAACCATCCTCCTCCATTCCTCTCCGTCTTCAGCACTACACACTGCATCGCCCATTGTTAGTCCTGTCCACTCTTTGATTTTGATGTTATCCTCCCATCTTTTTCTTTGTCTTCCTCTTCTTCTCCCTTCTCTTGTGGTCCCCTGCAATATTTCTTTGGCAAGCCCTTGTTTCCTTGTTACAAGGCTGTACCATTGTAGTTTGCGTTTTTTCACAGACACCAGTAGGTCATCGTACTCCCCAATTGCCTACGAACCCTTTCTTTCACTGTTTCATTGGAGATATGGTCCCTATAGATAGCAGATGCCAAAAATGCTTCTGAAGCATCTCATCTCCATCACATTTATTTTCCTTTCAAGATTGGCTGTTAATGTCGCAGGCATACAGGCACAGGAAAATGGAGAGAACTAATGAGTCACTAATGACACTGATTAGCATGTTATAAAAATAATCCAACCCCCCCCCCCCCCCCCCCCAAGTGAATTATGTGCCAGCCTTCTAGCACGCCTAAAGTAGGAAAAGTAAAGTACTGTAAAGGGTTAAGTAAAAGTTAAAAGTAAAGCAACAATATAAAAACATGTGCCGGGTGGTAAGGTAAAATTAAGGCCAAGGCTTAAGAAGGCCTAAGCCTAAGACTAAGACTAAGGCAATGAAATTTAAGCACGATTAATTATTTCTATTTCTAGTGATATAAAATTAAAATTTCCTCTTCACCTGATGGAACTAAAGGCCTAAAATAGCGTATTTTTGTTAATGTACAATATCCATTTAACAAAATTGAACAAGATTTAAAAAAAGGTAGCCTACAGTTTACAGTTCATGAATCTTTTGTCATTGAACAAGGATAACTCTTCTGTCTTCAAAGATACGTTATAAAAGTTGCCCAATTGGATATATTTAGATTTAAATAATTTTTTAAACATTTTATAGATCTATACACTTTGATATTAATTTCTTTCTAGCCCACTGCATGGATTATGCACATCAATGTAAAGGTGGTACTCGCAAGGGACCTCAATATCAGGGGGCGCATTCGCCCTGGGCGCTGCTTTCCCTTTACACGGTTGTGTATTCATTTCGCACAGAACGCGGCTCAAATTTTGAGGGTGGGGGCATGGGCGCCCGCAGAAAACTTTCGGG